CACTGAAGTGTAAATATCGTCCAGATTCACAATTTTCCAGATCCAGAATTGAATGGATTTTACGTCTTTAATTTTCTACGACTAATAGGCTAATGAACACACACTGTANCACTAGGAGATATTTTTAACAAGAGTTTTCAAATCTCTTTCTTTTTAATGTGTCGATGTCGACATTTATTTCTACGATCGCTATTTGAATATGGTTGAAAAATTTACAATTCAAGAGTGTCACAATTTTATATATCACCAACTTTCAATTGAAACAAAAAAACCAGTTTCACCCACCTGTTCCGACAAGACTGACAACTGCTAAAAAACAAAATATCCGAAAGAAACATTTTCCCATGATGTGCAAATGTTAGTGACATAAATGACGAAATTACTCTCTCAAATACAATTTTTACTGCCCTAATGTCCACATCCTTCTATTCATTTCTTCGTGAAGTATTCAAATCTAAGTAAACATTTATTTCAATGTACTTTCTTTCAAACCTTTTTTATATTTCCAAAAAACCATTGGAGTATGTTACAATTCCTTTTATTATTTCCAAGTGTTTACAGAGATAAATATAGATAAATATATGTACATGTTAAAAGATAGTAATATCTTCAATATTGGTATTAACAATATCATAACAATATTGACTGGGAAATATTAATAACATAGCCTACAGTCCCAGAAAGAAGTAACGAGACACATTTAAATATTTTATTCCTCGAGATTTCGTCTCATCGAGACGACTTTATCAAATGATTTTCGACGACGACGAACGCTCGTAGAATAAAATACTTTAGTCACTCTTAAAAGGTGTCTAATTTCTTTTATTATACAACAACATAGAGTGATACACCATTACTTTCAATACAAACAGTCCACTTTACGTTAAGGTAGTATAAGTAGTATTGAACACAGAACTCTAGCTTTCTATTAATATAAATGTTACCTCAAAATCAAATAGACTGTTCTTATGAATAATTTGAATCGCACCCTAAATATACATTATACACATCTTTGAAGGATTATATTCGGTGTTGTTAAATCGGTTAACGAATACAAAGCATTAAGCCCCCGCCGTTAGCCGCCGCCGTTGACCTCTGGAAGCCCCCGTCATTGTTTTTTGAACTAACCGTCGAGGTGGGCGAGTAGCTAAATGTTTGACAGAATTCGACTTTTGTGATTTATTAAAGTGTATGAAACTTCATCTGGGTGTCATCAGCATCTGTTCTGAAATATACACCACCTGGTGTTACTCAATAACGAATGTTTTATTGATTAATTTTTAGAAAAATGATATTCCCAAAACACGATATTTGCCTTCCTTTAATGAAGTTTAAATCTTAAACATTTTCATTTCATTAATTTATACATTTTGAAATAAACAGCACGAAACAGTCGTAGAAGACTGAAGTCAATTGAAGTCAGAGTTTAGCAGCTTAGCCGACTTAACCACTGAAATTTCAGCAAAGTTGGCCACAGTTACGTTACTATAACGATTTGCTTATAGGTCTAATACAAATATCACATGAATATTTCTTGATTACATGATTGACAGTAGAGTGGGCGTGGTCTCTTGTGTTATGTATAATTATTCGAATGTATCACGTCTTGTATTCTAAAATACAGTCAAAATAAGTCAATGACCACAGTCATGATTAGCGTTGGTAAAAAATCACTGTACAGTTTTCACAGATTCTCCAAAGTCAACATTTATTAACCACAGTATAATCATCACCTTTAGGGCCCACAATTCTCTTAATTTCTCGCGTTAGATTCAGTTTGTCTTTCGGCAGATTTTCATAATCATCATTTACAATCTTTTTATTCTGACTATTGTTGAGTTCCATTCCTTTGTCCGTACTTGCATCATTCTGTGGCTTCTTCTGAATATCTGCGCACTCTTCGTTGGTATTTGGAACACTTTCGAGTTGTCCCGGGGCAAGTTCGAGTTGTTCCGGATCGTGTTCGAGCTGTTCTGGAGTATATTCACCATATTTTGAGTAACCATCATTATCTAGCGAATCTGTGTTTTCGGTTGACAGCATTACCACTTGGACTGCTTTCTTGCGATTGGTCTGAATAAAATTATTAGGAATATGGTCATAACCGTCAGAATGACTATTTCTATCTCCTGAATTAGTATGTATTGTGTTGGAGTAAATATGTCTACCAGCAACATTCTGATCCGTTACGTTCTGGTCGGTCTGTTGCTTCTTCTTTCTCCGTTTTAGGAAACTGCAACAAAAAATGAAAGGCATCTTAAGGACATTGACAGAAAATCAATATATATCAGATTTCATCTTTTAGCTTTGATTAGATCTACAGAAGGATGAGCTCCAAAAACTGGCACGTCCTGCATCCGCTATTTTGTTCAGTTCAAACCGAATCGCCAGATAAGTTCTCATGATATACTGAAAGCCAATAGGAGAGCGAGAGATATAAAGTTAAATAAAATCATTGTTATATTAGTTATATAGTTATATAAAAATAAGAGATAAAATCATGACTTGCTTTTGCGTCTATAATCATTAGTAGCGTAGTGAGGATTTTATTGGTGGATGCAAGTGAGCTCCCAGTAGACCCACGTGTATTTTATATGGCACAAGTCATGGTGAGGTCAGGGGAAATTTTGTATTTTCTAGGAGGCCGAAAAATGCTTCTATCGGCAAAAAGAATCGGTGTGCATCTTAAGTTTCCGTGAGAGGCTTAGAAGAAAGAAATTTACAACAACATACAAATACTTACAATATGATTATAACAGCAGTAACAGATACTAAAACTACACCACCAACAATACAGCCCTACTATCACAGATACTAAGACAGAGATATCATTTATAATATAATATTAACATTAAAATAACAATATATACTAAAACTACAACACCAACAATACAGCCTGCTATCACAGGTACTAAAACAGTGATATCATTTATAATATAATATTAACATTAAAATAACAATATATACTAAAACTACACCACTAACAATACAGCCTAATATCACAGGTACTAAAACAGAGATATCATTAAAAATATAATATTAACATTAAAATAACAATATATACTAAAACTACACTACTAACAATACAGCCTACTATCACAGGTACTAAAACAGAGATATCATTTATAATATAATATTAACATTAAAATAACAATATATACTAAAACTACACCACCAACAATACAGCCTACTATCACAGATACTAAAACAGAGATATCATTTATAATATAATATTAACATTAAAATAACAATATATACTAAAACTACACCACTAACAATACAGCCTACTATCACAAGTACTAAAACAGAGATCATTTATAATATAATATTAACATTAAAATAACAATATATACTAAAACTACACCTACAATACAGCCTACTATAACAGATACTAAAACAGAGATATCATTTATAATATAATATTAATATTAAAATAACAATATATACTAAAACTACACCACTAACAATACAGCCTACTATCACAGATATTAAAACAGAGATATCATTTATAATATAATATCAACATTAAAATAACAATATATACTAAAACTACACCACCAACAATACAGCCTACTATCACAGATACTAAGACAGATATCATTTATAATATAATATTAACATTAAAATAACAATATATACTAAAACTACACCACCAACAATACAGCCTACTATCACAGATACTAAAACATAGATATCATTTATAATATAATATTAACATTAAAATAACAATATATACTAAAACTACACCACCAACAATACAGCCTACTATCACAGGTACTAAAACATAGATATCATTTATAATATAATATTAACATTAAAATAACA